TAGAGAGAATAAGAGAGTGAGACAAATAGGCTACATAATCATTTGCTCCAAACTCAGGTAGGGTATATATATCATATATATAAACAGAAAGGTAAAAGTAAAGTACAGCCCCCACTTTCAAACTGCCCGATCTAGTGTGTAACATCGTGAGTCAGCATGGGGTTCACAGTGGGGTCGCAGCGGTGTCTTACAGGAAGGGGAAACAGAGGGCTGTGGTCGTCAAAGGCTATCTTTATTATTTTTTTTTAAAAAGAGTTTTACAGCACTTGCAACACAATAAGGTCATATAAGTGCTGAAGATTAGAGGTGTTACAAGGGAGTAACAAACACAAAAAAGAAGGAGGGTAGAAAAAGACGATAGAAGTTTGATAGGAAAGAAGGAGCAAACCACACCAGAGCACCCGCCAACCACCCACCGGCTATCTCGCATGGAGGTATTTGTCTTGGTCATTTACAATGGCAGTAGTGTAACAAAGGACATATGCACTTACACACACCCCGGGGTGGGGGTACAGACTGAAATGTCTTTACGCCATTCCCAAAGGGGGGATATTTAACCATGTTCTTATGCACAGTAGAATTGTAATTGTAAATGGGCTGATTCATCGATGTCATGCTCACAACTGTGCCTGAACTGCAACAGAGAAGTGCTGCTTTTTCTTCACTAATCCTTACTTAGTCATTTTTCCTCTACCTCTTTTGTATGCTTGTCACACTCTTGTGACCCGCTATTTCCGGGGTGCCTTGAAAGTTGAAGCAGACTTTGTGCTGTTCAGGCTAGAGAGGTGAGCAGAGTAAGTCCTGTAAGGATTTCTCTGTTGACATCCACCTCTTACTGTGGGTTATTTGTTTTAGTAAGTGTTTTACGGCACTTGCAACACAATAAGGTCATTTAAGTTCCGAAGATTAAAGGTGTTACAAGAGAGTAACAAACACAAAAAAGGAGGCGAGATAAGGACGACAGATGTTTGAAAGGAAAGAAGAAGCAAACCACACCAGAGCACCCGCCAACTACCCACCCTGTAAATTAATCACTGAAATCCCCAAATATATATATAAAAAGCAGGACCAATGTAAACATGAGTTTGCTGCCGCAGAAGGAGCCTGTAAATTTCAAAACAAATGAATCCATTCATACACATTGTGGTAGACTGCAATTATTAGTTTGTTCAAATATAAAGCCACTGTCAATATCACATGATAATGCAACTAATCCATTAAGTCATGTCACAAAATCCTACAAGAAAGGGGAGGGGGGATGGGGATAGAGGGGGTTTACTGTGCGTTCACCGACTAACCTGCCGATGTGCAGCGTGGGTTCTGTGAGGTAGACGGTGCCGCGGAATCCCGTGTACTCTGTGATGTAGGGCAGGGCCAGCATGCAGCTGTAGCTGGAGATCAGAATGGCGTCAAGGGAGGACAACTCCACCATGTCCGTCTGCACCAGTGATGTTGATGATGATGAGGCAGCCACATGAAAAAGTTTGAAGTTTAGTTTGAGTAAGAGTTTTACGGCACTTGCAACACAATAAGGTCAAATAAATACTGAAGATTAGAGGTGTTACAAGAGAGTAACAAACACAAAAAAGAAAAAGGGGAGAGAAAAGGACGATAGGAAAGAAGCAAACCACACCAGAGCACCCGCCAACCACCAACAGAAGTTTGAAGAAATGGTGTTCATGGCATAATCACTTCAGTACAAGGTATGGCACAGAAAAAAACCAACCCCCAAACAAAGTTAATATCAAACAAATCAACATTTACTTTTGTTTAAGTAAGAGTTTTACGTCACTTGCAACACAGCTAGAAGGTCACAGAAGTACAGACATTTGAGGTTTACTAGAGATGAGGACCATAGATATATTTGACAGGCAAGAAGAAGCAAATGACATCAGAATGTCTGCAAACCATCCACATAAAATAAACATAAACATGTCAGAATCAGAATGCTCATATCACAAACAAAAAGACAGTCACTTCAGTACAAACATATGGGACAGAAAAAAGCAACCAAAAAGAAAAACAACGAACCAAAAAAAACCCACCCACACACAAAAGAACCTTCCCATCACGTAGTCCACAAATCAATATAGAATCTTACGATGGGACAGATGGACAGACAGACACGGAGACATGGCTTACTTCAGGAATGGCAAACTCCGGGGCACCATCCACCAGAAGACGACCTCCACAGTCCTTCAGCTCCTGTGTCTACGGTGAGAGGGAGAAGAAATCTGATTTTTAACTTTTACAAAAGAAAAGCTTAATGTAGGTGTTTTTACACCCCCATCAACATAATTTAGATCATATCACAATATGTGAGGCATCGCCGTAAAATCAGACGCACATCAAAATAATGAAATCAAAGGAACAGGCATTTTTTCGCCAGTTT